TAGGTTAATTTCTGTTTGTTTAAGCCTCGTATTAAGCCCCTATTTATAAGGAATGAGTGCAATTAGGGTTTTAATCATTATGCCACAGCAAGAGTCGCGCGCATCTGGATGAGTTACGCGCGGCATTCCAGCGCAAGTGATTTAGTTGCGCTGCTACGTGCAGCACAACTGAATGTCTTTGCGCGCGGTTTTATGGTAAGATTCAATTCTACATTTTTATAAAATTTTGAATCTTCCGCGAGCGCATCTCTAGAAGTTGCGCTGGGTGTTGCGCACAACTGAATTAGTTGCGCGCGCCTGACCAGCGCGACTCATTGAGATGCGCGCAGATTTTTCTGCGGCAGCATTAATTTTAACTTAGGCACCTCTAAATCCGTCATTGTTGGGTCTTAAGCACGGTCTTAAGCTTAATTATTATCGGGTTTAGTTAATTAGACCTTGTTTTGTATTTGTTTTGGGTTAGGCTAGTCTTTTTGTGTTTTTTGCAATTTATCCAGTCATCCATAAGCATTCTTCACTTCGATCCAACACGAAGATGGTTTGATTTATCGTCATTGCACTTCCTATCGGGACAGGAGGCCAAAAGTATATGTCTACACTAACAATTTATTCATGATATAGCAATTTAAAGAAATGCGGAACATGAGTAATTAGTTCACTTAATTACTCTTTTTATTATTCTTGTTGCTAGTATCATGATTAGGTTTTATTATTATTTGATTTGACTGACGATATTTATCGTTAAATTGCTTCTAATGTTGATGTTAATTTTATTATACTTATTGATCACCATATTTCATGTTAAAGTGAATATGTAATTGAATATCACGGTTAATAAGATAATTTGGTTGACCGGTATAGGCTCCCTTATATTTTAATATTATTGCTTAATTGAAGTGATCACAATATTTTAGAATTATACGTCACATTAACATTAAACAAATTTACCCTAATATTAGTTTGGAGCAAATTGAATCTTTGTTCGTGTACCTCTGAGGTTGTAGGAATACTTTTCAGAACAAGAATCGAGTAGAGGCCAATAAGGCGAATGTGACTCCATAACTAACTTCGTACCATCATCCTCGATCCTCTTTTCGTGGTTCTAAACCATATGGAGTTAGTAATCTCATGGATTATTAATGGGGTGTAACCTTCACGAGTCAATCGTTGTTTCCTATCATTGTCCCTTTATCGTTGTTGACTTAAATGATCCATGATTTGTTTGCAAGTTTCTTAAAAACTCCTTAACAGCTCCCCTGTTTTGCTTTGTCCCTAATTGTGTCCCTAATCGTTTGTCAATTCCTACTTCCTATGAGTGCCAAGCATATTCACAATATGCTTAAGTAGGCGCGCTTCGAATGATGGCTACAACTTGGCGACTCCACTAGGGAGGATTCTTGGTTACTTATTGATTTGAGTGATCGGTATTTAATTGAGATGAGTGAATGAAACTTAAAAGATTCTTAAATTGTATTCCTGCGATTTAATTTGCATTTTAGCATATGCATATGCATTTTAGCTTACCCATTTTGCCAAAATAGGTTGTGTTCTACGTATGTGGCTAGCTCATGAGATTTAAGCTCTATCAAGCCAAAAACGCTCATGGCAATAAGGGGATTTTCCCGAGGCGTGGAGAATTGTCGGCCGTTTCACACCTCTCGAGGCGTAGAAGTCGGAGATTGTCTCCCAAGGCATGGTCACATAATTTCTGATTATCAGACAAGATTTTCCCAAGGCGTGGAAAATTGTTGGTCGTTACACATCGAGACGTAGAAGTCGGCGATTGTGTCCCAAGGCGTGGACATATAATTTCTAATTATCAAAAAAGCTTTTTTGAGGCGTGAAAAATTGTCGTTCGTTTCACTTGTCTAGGCGTAGAAGTCGGTGATTGTGTCCCAAGGTGTGGACATATAATTTCTCATTATCAAACAAGTTTTTCCCGAGGCATGGAGAATTGTCGATCGCACACACTTCTCGAGCCGTAGAAGATGGCTATTATGTAACACTCCAATAATTCTCCCTTTTTCAAACCACTCACTTCAAATAAAATAGAGGAGAACCATTAGCATGTTACCACCATGTGTTAAAACGTTAAGGATTTATCAAATTATTGCACCAGAAAAACCAACTTAAATCTTAAAATAATATAATTTAGAAAACCAATAAGTCATAGCTTACAAACTAGAACTATAAATGTCCTTATTTAGAACCAAACCAATATACAAAATCCCAAGACGTAAATTAAATAAAAGTAAAACATAAATAAGTTCAACACAAAAAAGGAATACTCTCAATCACACCAATCCCTTGACAATGTGTTTGTCAGATCCCCGAACTTCACATCATCAAGCTAACCTGTGCAATACTGCTCCCCAATAATACAAGTGTAATAATTGGATCAACACAAGGTCATTGAAAGGCGAAGGCCATGACCAAAAGAAAACACACACAAGAGCACACAATCAGCAAACCTGAGTACATACAAGCTACAACGTAACAAACCTAGCATGCTCAACTAATCAAAGTAAATTAACATTCCACATAAATTCATTAACCAAGACTCGACACTAAAATAGTTCAATCAAATTAACATACTCACTGACCAATTCCATACACTTGACTTTTTATGTTAAATTTAATTAATTTAATTTGGAGTAAGCAATAGATGAGGTTGTCCAACCCACCTAATCATTTTGGTCCCAAATGACCATTTAAAATAATATTTTCGCGTGATGCAAGAATGGGCGCGACTCCATTCCCATAAAGTTAGTCTAGGATCCCATCTAACTTTCATTATAAAATAAAATTGTAAATACCAAAAGAAAAGAGAACATGTTGATCAAACAAGCCTCGGAAAGCCACGGGATACCACCATGTACCCCAACCCATAATTGTCAATACTCTAGAAGTGCACGCTTTCCAGAGTTTTATTGCTCATCCATGTTTCACTTTACGTGATTACCAATTTAATTTATAGCCGACTCATTCAAGTAACGATACATAATAATCATACATATAATTCACTTTTAATCTTATTTAGGACAACGATGATCACATCACAAATTGACATTTAATTCTTTTTAAATTCGAAGTATCCAAAATTCGTTGAACATAGTCAACCCACCTAGCCATTTTGGCTTAATCCACCTTTACTCAACACACTAAATGTCATGCTTGAGTAATAAATAAATTAATAATAACGTCGTGGAATAATTAATAAATTCATTCCACTTAAACCATTTTATTCCAATCCTTCAATAATCCAAATGTAGTTATCAAACCAAACCAATAAAACTATGCTTGTATCAACATTCCATACAAATAATTAATCCAATATAATTCAACATGCTTGCATCCATAATCCATACTAACATAATCAATTCCACCAAAAAATGTCTCATAAACATAAGCACATGAATTAATTCAATGTATAACCAAACAATTTTCATCCAAGTGTTCCCTAAACATGAAACTAAATTCATTCCTTTTGGTACCTAAACATGATACTACTTATAACGAAGTAGACATGTACGTACCTTGTATAAACAATTCTTTGTGCCCCTTTTAATAAATATAAACTCTCCTAGGGAATAATCACTTCCTAAGAAAACAACTAACAATCATAAATTAATACTTAAACAAAATTCTAGCAATATAAATTTGATTAAAACTCCTTAAAACTTCCTTTAAAACATGTTTTTATGCTTAATTAATCAATAGAAATTGAATAGGGTCAAAAGCCCCAAATTAATTTATCATAAGAACCCTAAAATCCCAATTCAAATAAATTAAAACCCTAGGTTTTATAATAAAAAAATCTGAAAATTTATAACATCAATATAATTTGAAATTATTAGTTAAAAACATCACAAACATAGATTTGATACTAATTTAATCAATTTCAAACAGTAAAAATTAAACCCAAAATAATTTGTAAAATTGTAAATAGTAATCTGAATTTTGCTCCATTTTCTTTTAATAATTCAAACTTTCGATTATTCTAGAACAATCCCAACTTTGGGGGCTATTTACTTTTTTCAATCCCAATTACCAGTTACGTGTTGAATAGGTTAATTTTTTTTTAATAAATGCCACGTGTCAAGAGCTAATTAGCCAAAAATATTTGGAAAAAAAAATTAATTTTTTTATAAAAAAATTCAAAAAACCAGCCCCACCCCATCCCTTCCTTAACCACCTCAGCCCACCACCCACCGAAACCCCAGCCACACCAATCCCCTTTTGCACCAGAAACCCACAACCCTCATCCCGCCGGCCAGCGCCCCTCCTCCCATACCGTCTCATCGCCAATCCCCCTCCCTTCTTGAACCACCAATCTCATCTCCTTCCTAAACTCACTCGCCAGAGAATGATTATTAATACTCGCCGGGGAAAACCCGCAGGACGTTGCTTCCCAATGAAGCTTCTTCCACCTCTAAATTTATCGACGTCACCGCTTCCTCTGTTCCTGCTTCTTCGATCTTCTACCGCTACTGCTTCCGCCATAGATGAAGGCATCGAGATTTAGAATGAAAAGGGAAGCGAAACGGGCGGTGGTTTGGGCAGCGGTTTGTAAGGGAATTTAGGGTGGTATGGTGACGCCGAGGGTAGAACGTGTCAATCGATGAGAGCGGCGGCAGGCTGGGCGGCTAGGTAGTGGGGTGGAGGTAAGGGAAGGTTAGTTGGTGTTTTGTGTTTTTTTTTTTAAAATATTGGACCAATCAGGACTTGACATGTGTCAAGTAATCTGATATAGGTCATTGACTTTTGTTGACCGATTTAGGATTGAAGAAAGTAAATAGCCTCCAAAGTTGGGATTATTCTAGAATAATCAAAAGTTAAGATTATTAAAAGAAAATGGAGCAAAGTTGGGATTATTATTTACAATTTTTCCAAACAATTTAATAAACATTAAGCTAAATAAAATAAAAAATAGAGGAAGATAGGGGGCAGCCACGGGTGGCTAGGCTGGTGGTTCACTGGCAGACACTACTACAAAATTGGTCAAAGGAACCTATAATAAAAGACCCGTTGATTAATTTAACGGCTCTCTTTAATATAATAGATCTAATATTAGAGATAAAGGGTCTCTTATGTATCATAGGGCCCACCAAAAGATGGAGGAAAAAAAACAAGAGATCCCTAATTGACTCAACAGGTCTCTTATATGTGTAAGGGCCCACCACTTAAAGGATTGATATCAAACCCTATTTCTTTCTCTTCATATTCCCCATTTCCCATCACTATTATTCAGTATTCACGCCGCTTCCCTTTTCTCTTTCATTCTCCTCTCATTTTATTTTATTTTTGAAGCAAAAAATGCTGCTTCCACCTCCTTCTTAACGTCGGTGGTCGCTTCCATCACCTCCTCAATGCCGGCGTCGCTTCCTCTTTTTGCCATAGGAGAAATTGCGCCACAACCTCTTCCTCCTTAACACGCTGTTGCTGCCTTATTTTATTTCACCACTAATTCACCGTCAATCAAAGCTTAAATTTAATTAAAGATAAATTTTGACCATGAAAACTCCAAATCTGAAGTTTTCGTGGTTAAATTTGGCCAACAAGCCAAAATTTAAGTGTTTAAAAAGGTATATTTCCATTTCTATATTATTTTAAAAAAATTTACAGGTTTTTTGGTGGGGTGACCATGAGTTTATTCGTGGTGATTTCGGGTTTAGGTCTAATAGTTTAGAGATTTTTCGTGGTTGGCCGGGATTTTTTTTACTGGTGGTCTGGTGGTGTTGGTATTTTTCTTGTTTTTTTGCTCTATTTGAATGTTGAATTGGGTGAATTGTTTTAGTTTAACTCTAATAAATGGGTATAATTTCTGTCTTTTCCTTCTAACAGTTTGTTAAAATGCTATGTGAGGAACTTTTTTTTTTTAATTTAATATTAATTCACAGGATATGAACTAGCAATGGCGACGAAGAAGACGATGATAATAGCTGATTAGTGGTGCTCCAAGTGTATAGACGAACATAATGGCGACTGGTTCTTTAATTACTTTGATGAGGTGCAATTTTTCTCATGTTTGTTTGTTTTTCAATTACATTTTATATTTACACTTTAAATTTGTTGTGCATATCTCATTTACTTTATTTTCTCTTTGTTTAATATAAATCTAAAGTTTTTTTAGTGGAATTCTCAATTATAATCATTCGTTATCTTAATTTTATTTTGTCAGATTTGTTGATGTCGTTACAATCAAACAAAAAAGTAGCAAATGGAGTACTCAAGTCTAATTACTGTAATTTTAATTGTAATTGTAAATTTCAATAGATTCAAACAATTTTTTTAGTTGGGATTTTATGTTCATTGATTTTTTTTTTTCATCTCATCAATTTTAATTGTAATTTGCATGTTACATAAAAATTAAGTATACAAATTACTAATACTACCAATTTATAATTTAGCTCCTCAATTTTGCTAATTTGTATAGAGTGTAAAAATAAAATTAATTAAAATGCAAACCGCAAATAAAAAATAATAAAAATAAAAAAATATTTTTTTTTCAAAATATAAAGAACAAAGAGACCCGTTATTTGACCCGACATGTCTGTTTCATGTAGTCAAACAAACCCCTTATATCAAACAACGAGTCTCTTACTGTTCCAAAACTATCATCTCACCGCGTAAATAACGGACCCGTTGTCACTGATAACGAGTCTCTTTGTCCGTACAAACAGACCCCTCATCAGAACAGGTCTCTTAATCAAAGAGACCCCTAAGATAGAGACCCGTTCAGAAGTGGTCTCTCAAGCATGTTTCAACGGGTCTCTTTGCCCATTTTTGTAGTAGTGAGACATCATTGGTCGGCGGCCTACAGGCGGCACTGGCTAGTCTGGGCGGCGAGCTGTCTTGGGCGGCAGTGAGCTTGCATGCTCACGTAGGAAGCAGGAAAGATAAAGAAAGAAAAAAAAGAAAAAGAAAAGGGAAAGAAAAAAGAGAGGAAAGAAAAATAAAAGAGAAAAGAAAATACTAACCTTTTGTGTGGGGAAAATTTTGGGGATGTATAAGGTATTTATAGGAGAGGGAGTTGTTATGTAAGTAGGAATATTGGGTCAATGGGCCAATTAAGGAATAAAAATAGACATAAATTGTAGAATGAAGGTTCATAAAATAATTTGTACCAAAATAATTTTCGAACCAAATTAATAATTTGAAACTTGAAATTAAATTCTAGAAAAATACAGATAAATATTATAAATAAAATAAAATTTCATTTATAAATTGTTTAAAAATACGTGGGATTACAGATTATGCCCCAAGACGTGGACATGTTATTTCTAATTATCAGACAAATTTTTCTCGAGGCGTGGAAAGTTGTTGGTGGTTGCACACTTCTCGAGGCGTAGAAGTTGGCGATAATTCCCAAGGCGTGGAAAATATCATTCCCGAGGTGTGGAAAAAATATCATCTAACAAAATTCCGAGGCGTGAAAAAAATCATCTAATAGTATTCTCGAGCCGTGGAAAACTATCATCCCGTGGATTTCTGAAGGCGTAGAAAACTATCAAACATATTTTCCACCGATTCACTAGTTCCGATTCACTAATGTAATTTGATTGTGAATGTTTAGCAATATTGAATTGATGAATCGAGCAGATGTTAATTTAATATTAAAGGCTATTTTTAATAGGAACTTAGATCTAGTAAATTGCGAGAGCCTGTTAGATCTATGTTGATTAATAAATTGTGAGAGCCTATTAATCATGTTATTTGTGCAATGTTAATTATTAATTATTATGTTTTATCCCGGAATATTAATTATTGGTGAACCTGTGACCCTAGGCTTTCTTATTATTGTTTTTCTCCCTAAACTTATTCTTCGTAGTATAATTCCTTTAACAACAACAACAAATTGGTTACTTTAATAATTTAGATTATAATAGTTTAATTAGGAATAGAAAGATCCGTTTCTATGTGGATTCGACCCTACTTCCCTATCTACATTAGTTAGAGGATTTAGGAATTACTTTTGATTAGCGGATACGACTTTACCCTGTCAGACAAAAATGCCGTATCATGGCAAGATTTGCCACATCACGGAAATTTGCGCCATGACACGACGATTTTTAGATTTAACTAATTTGCGGCGCTTTAATTCTAGGGTTTCGTGCTTTACCCCTCATATTTTTCTCTATAAATATGAAGATGATTTCACCAGTTTCAAGTCACAAAAAAATCCCCTCTTCCTTTCTTATGCACCAAATCACACTCTCTTTCTCTCTTATGCTCCATCTTAAACACTGGCCTTTACTATTCTTCCACAATACATCCCTTAAGCACTCCCCAGAGTCCATACAACACCAAAAGTTCCTTACTCAAACTAAGGTGTGAAAGGTAGAATTGAGTGAGGGTTTGGATCAAATCAACTTTACTTTTTATTTAGTTTAAATTCAATTTGATTTATATTTTTATTAAAGTTACTAACAATTTATTCATGATATAGTAATTCATAAGTGAGTAATTATTTCACTTAATTACACTTTTCATTATTCTTGTTGCTAGTATCATGATTAGGTTTATTATTTGATTTGACTAACGTTGTTTATTGTTAAATTGCTTCCAATTTTGATGTTTATTTTATTATATTTATTGATCACCATATTACATGTTAAAGGGAATATGTAATTGAATATCACGATAAATCAGATAATTTAGACGACTTGTGTAGGTTCCCTTTTAATCTTATTGTTTAATTGGAGTGATCGCAATATTTTAGAAATATATGTTGCATTAACATTCAACCAATTTAGCCTAATATTTTCCTTAAAAAAAGCCTAAATATCAGTTTGGAGCAAATTGAATCTTTGTTTGTGTGCCTTTGAGATTGCAGGAATACTTTTCACGATAAGAATCGAGTAGAGGCCAATACGGGCGAATGTGACTCCATGACTAACTTCGTACCATCATCCTCGATCCTCCTTTCGTGGTTCTGAACCATATAGGGTTAGTAATGGATTATGAATGAGGTATAACCTTCACGAGTCCATCGTTGTTGCCTACCGTCATCTCTTAATCGTGGTTGCCTTAAATGATCCGTGAACGGTTTACAAGTTTCTTAAAAACTTGTTGGCGACTCCCTACTTTGCTTTGTTCCTAATCGTCAATTCCCACATCCTATGAGTGCCAAGCATATTTACAACATGCTTAAGTAGGCGTGCTTTGAATGACGCTTACAATTAGTAGCTTTATGACTGAAATAACTACACTTGCTTTAGCTCTTAATGAGAAGTATGAACTTGAAGTTTTAACTCAACCTCCTTGGCTAGTATTCTTAGCCTTATCTCACTTTCCAAGAGTCAACAAATACAAACCTTTTTTTTTTAGAAGTATGTGGAAGTGGTTAAAGGAAATGGGTTTTGGAATGAGAAGCATCACCATGAAGGGAAGTGGTTAGCAACCTTGACTAGCTTCAAAAGAGACTTATACTATCTTGAATGTGGTTCTGAACCTAGAAGGAGAATTGTGAAACCACCTTAACTTGGGAAGAATGAAACCTTGACGGAACTTGACCAAATTGAACACTTGAATGCTCAACTACCTTCTGTGTATCAAAAGCTTTACAATAGTCTTCCATTGATGTATCTATACCACCTCTTGGGAGGAGGAAGAATTACCCTTCTCCTTCTACCACTCCAAGCTATGATACTTCTAAATATCCTTAATGTCCAAGTCTAAAGGCCCATTTTCATGTTGCAAATAGGCCTAGAGTTCATGATACTTCATCCATCAATAAAAGATCACCAAGCCCAGAGTATCACCCATCTTCACCAAAATTTGTTCAAATGCTCGACATTTCTTCAAAGCTAATTTATGGTTGTAATATCCCACATAAAAGCCCAAATTATAGCCCAAATACAAGTTCAGGCCATACTCCAAGTTATAGTGGCTACAATCCAAGTTTTGTGACCGACCCAAATGATAAAGGAAAGGTTTAGCGAGATTATCTTGATTATGATCCCAATGAGGAGGAATTTTCTGAGAGTATCTTTTGAGTGATTAAACTTATGTAATTTTTATTGATTTCAATAACTGCCTTAGACAAAAAATTTGTACTTAAGTTCTTTATTAATGAAATGAAGTTATTTTGTTTAAATTCTCTTTTCTTCTTAAAGGAATAAAGTGTTCATATGAGTACGTAGTGCTTGTTTTAAATTTCAAAGAATGGTATGAATACCTACAAATTATGTCTTTGAGGGCTGGAAAATGACGTAATAGTTAAAAGTAGTTAAGTTCCTTAAGAATTTAACCCATATAGTTGAAAATATCACGCAAGTAGTGAACCAAGGAAATCGTCATTCTGACTTTGAATCATAAAATAGACTTTCGAAAGAATAACAATAGCTAAACTACCTGTTTATTTAAGGAAGGATGCACAACAAGTCTTGAAAGCAAAATTAGGGATTTGAACAAGCTACTTAATTCCATTAATTGCCTAATTGAGTTGAGGGGTGAACAATGGTACTTACGATTAGAGGGAGGAAGCTAACTTATTGAAGAGACCTAACTTTGGATGGGATGAGTTCAAATTAGTCGTGAGGGATAAGTTTTGCCTCGCATACTTGAGGAAATAAGAATTTATGGAGTTTACTAATCTCAAAATGAAGAAGATGTCTATCAATGAATATTACAACAAGTTCATTGAGTTAATGAGGTTTTCCCCGAAATTTATTCCAATTGAAGCAATCAAAGCTTATTGATTTAAGCAAGGATTGACCCTAACCCTCCAAAGGAAGCTAAGCGGTGAATCTTGAGACCCTAAATGAAGTATATGATCGTGGATCCCACATGTATGGGATTAAGGGGGATATGGAGCATTCTGGAGAGGAGAAGAAGAACTCAAACTCTTTTTCATGTGGGTGAAAAGAGACATAAGCCTAATAAGAACAATAAAGGGAATGGGCAGACTAGAGGAAGAAGGGGAAACAATGGGCATTTTAGGATGGGAAATGGGGGCCAGTCGGCCAATGCCAAAGGGAATGGGAAACACAGGGATGGTGAAAGACCCAAGAGGAAGTATTTCTACAAGCGGTGTGAGAAAAAACACCCAAAGAAGGATTGTGATGGAACCTAGTGACTTGTTGTTACTGTCAAAAGTTGGGACACCGTAAGTACAAATGTTTCAAGAAGGAGGTCAGCGTTAAGTCGAGAAAGGTGAAAGAGTCTAGTGCTCCTATTAAATCACCCTAATTTAGTGGACCTACACCTAAGGTTGGAACTACTGGCAATGAGATAGGGGTCGTGTGTTCATGATGAACAGCTGTGAGGTTGAAAATTCTAATGATGTGGTAATTGAAATTTTCTATATGTGTTCCTTGTTTGTGAAAGTTTTATTTGATTCAGGTGCATCTCATTCTCTTATTTCTAAGACAGTGGTAGAGAATCTTGGGTTAGTGAATCTTGAGTAGGTTTTCCTAGATATTTTTGTTCCATTTTGGAAAGTAAGGAATTGTTCTTTATTATTTAGAGGTGTACCTCTTTAATTTTTGGGGTAGAATTTTTGTCTGATTTGATCTAGTACAATTTGAAGGATATCGATGTGATTGTGGGTATTGATTGGTTGGGAAAGTACAATGCCCAAATTGATCGTGCATTGTACTTACATAAGGGAAGGGAAAAGTTCGGGGTTAAGGGTTACTTCTGTAATGCAACTTCGGAAGTTCAATACGAAGGGTTAACCCCTATATAAGTGTAGTATTTAGTAAGTGGTATGTGAGAGAGAAAATAATGATGAAGGTAATCTTGTTATAGAGGAGTTTCCTAATGTATTTTTAAATGAGATTCCTGGTGTGCCACTAGTGAGGGATGTGGAGTTCACTATTAACCTAGTGCTTGGTACTGGACCCATTTTCAACACCCTACATAGGATGGCTCTAGCTAAAATGAAAAAACTAAAGACTCAATGGGATGATTTGTTGGAAAAGAATTACATTTGACCTAGTTCCTCACTATGGGGAACTCCAATGTTATTTGTAAAGAAAAAGGATGGAATCTTGAGAATATGTATTGACTATTAGGAGTTGAATCAAGTTATAGTGAAGAATAAGTATCCATTGTCGAGGATTGATGATCTATTTGACCAGTTAAGAGGAGCCAAAATCTTTCAAAGATAGATTTAAGGTTAGGTTATTACTATTTGAGGATTGCATATCAAGATATTCCAAAGAGTGATTTTAGGACCCTTTATAGTCATTATGAGTTCATAGTTATACCAGTTGGGTTGACTAATGAACTAGCCATGTTCATGGACTTGATGCATTGGATTTCAGGCCGTACTTGGTAAGTTTGTGGTGGTGTTTGATATGTTGATTTATTCAAGGAATAAAGAGGAGCACGAGGAACATTTGAGGTAAGTGTTGTTGCTTTTGAGGGAGCATCAATTATATGCTAAGTTGTCAAAATGTGAATTTTGGTTTGAAAAAATGGCTTTTTGGGCCATGTGATTTCCAAATAGGGAGCTTCAGTCAATCCAGCGAAGATCCAAGCTATGTGTGAGTGGCCAACCCTAAAAAAGTGTGTCAAAAACTAGGAGTTTTTTAGGTTTGGTAGGCTATTACAAGAGGTTTAGTGTTTCACTAGTCTAAACATCCTCTTTAAAGAAAA